TTTCCACATCAAGCAGATGTTCACCTGCACATCTGCCAATGTGGTATACTGCATCCGCTGTACCCGGTGTGGCTTCCTCTACATCGGGGAAACCAAGCGGAGACTCGGGGACCGCTTTGCAGAACACTTACGCTCGGTTCGCAACAAACAACTGCACCTCCCAGTCGCGAACCATTTCAACTCCCCCTCCCATTCCTCAGACGACATGTCCATCCTGGGCCTCCTGCAGTGCCACAACGATGCCACCCGAAGGTTGCAGGAACAGCAACTCATATTCCGCTTGGGAACCCTGCAGCCCAATGGTATCAATGTGGATTTCACAAGTTTCAAAATCTCCCCTCCCCCCACCGCATCCCAAAACCAGTCCAGCTCGTCCCTGCCTCCCTAACCTGTTCTTCCTCCCACCTATCCCCTCCTCCCACCTCAAGCCGCACCTCCATCTCCTACCGACCAACCTCATCCCGCCCCCTTGACCTGTCTGTCCTCCCTGGACTGACCTATCCCCTTCCTAACTCCCTACCTACACTCGCCTTTACTGGCTCCATCCCCGCCTCTTCGACCTGTTTGTTTCCTCTCCACCTATCCTCTCCTCTATCCCTCTTCTATCCGCCTCCCACTCTCTCCCTATTTATTTCAAAACCCCCTTCCCCTCCCCCTTTTCTGATGAAGGGTCTAGGCCCGAAACGTCAGCCTCTCTGCTCCTATGATGCTGCTTGGCCTGCTGTGTTCATCCAGCCCTGCACCTTGTTGTCTCGGATTCTCCAGCATCTGCAGTTCCTACTATCTCTGATTGCATTTGGACTAGTGTTTTTTTATCTTCCTCTCTTGCAGGACAAAATGAAGGGACATTAGCAATGCGAGAAGGAGAGGTGTTGTATGTTATTGAAGAAGATAAAGGAGATGGCTGGACAAGAACACGCAAACAGAATGGACAAGAAGGCTATGTGCCAACATCATATGTAGATATTACTCTAGAGAAAAACAGTAAAGGTGCAGTGACCTATATATAAATATAAGATGCTGAAATCTAGTTGTGCTGATGTGGAAATGTATTAATTTAAATGGCTAAAGGAATAGTGGAGAAACATTAAGAGTCAAATTCTTAAAATATGTTCCTATGCATAATCCTTTGTTCACTGTGTGAGCTGAACTTTGAAATTGAGATTTTATTCTTAAAGTTATCCTTTTGTGCAGGAATACAAACCCTGGATTATTCCATGTCATAGTATTTGGAAACAGTTTAACTCTCTAGTATTGTTAAATATCGCATTAATCCTTCCCAATATTCCTGATGCCTTAACTTTTGTGTATGTGTAAATATATATATAGGTGAGGGTTCTTGGTGTTTTATATTTTTTAATCCATCATTGAAACAAAGGTTTTTAGACTTTTTATTGGAATATAATTTTTTAGCTTTCAAAGTAGTAACTTAGATAAAAACCAATAGTCCATTTCTTTAGTTATAACCATTTAAGCAAAAAATGTAAGTGATTCACAATAAATAACTTCTGAGTACTGGTGGTGGGAGGGCACATTAAAGTGTTTCTTACATTCATGTTCAATTTTTAAAACAAAACTTAAACCGCATTTTGCCTAATAAATGCTTTGTTATTACTTGAGTATTATTTTGCCAATTATCAAGATGAAAATCTGACTTCAACAAATTTAGCTAAACACCTTTCAAAACCTGTATGCAAGTGTGATAATTTTGGTGTTGCGTAGTTAATGAGTTCTAACTTGTAAAGTTTCTCCTTTTACCTTTTGTTTCTTTTGTTTGTTCCAGCTGAATTTAGTAATGGTGCTTTCTTTCTTTTCCCCTCTGGACTGCAGGTTCCTGAATTGGTGTGTGGGTTCTTGAAACATTGGGCGAGGCATTGAAGGAGGTTGCATGCAGCTGTTTTCTGGGTGGGGAAAGGCACTGGTTGAAAGGTTGAGGCTGGTAGATGAGGAGGGAGGAGGAAACTGCATGTTTGATATTTATTTTGCTACTAACGCAATTAACACAATTCTAACTATAGTTCACATGGTGAATCAACAGTACAGTATTCCGTAGGTCTTAATGCCAAAGGTTCATCTGACCCGGGTGAAGTACATTCAACATGACTTTACCATCAGATAATTTTTTGAAAATATAGTGCTGTCTGCCTGTGCCATCCTACATGCTCGCCCTAACATGCTATTGCATGCTTTTGTAAATCACGCTAAATATTCACTTCAGAAATGTCTAGACTGTACTGTGGTTGACCTGTTTTGTTGTTGTGCAATCCCCACATTATCTAGCTTAACTCCTTCTCCAGTGTTTCACATTTGTAGTTCCATTCCATTTTTCATTTGTGCTGCTACCAGTACTGCATGGTAATAGTGTTGTGTTGATTACCAGTGTTGAGGAGGTCGGACAAACCTGTAGATGCAACTTTTCATTGTATATAGTTTATGAATTCTCCTCCCTCCTTGCTTTTGGCCCACATATTTCTTGTGTATTGGATTGATCATTGAAGTCTGAGTCAATGGAAACACACCTGAAAAACAGCATAGCTTCAGGAAAATAAGAATGACTCACTGTGAAGAGACACAACTGGGCATAAACTTTGAGAGATGTGTATCATGAACTCTGAGAAGACACACCAATCATTTATCACTATCTTACTATACAGCTGCTGCCTTAAATCAACTGTTTTAACAGAAGAGTGCCTAAATTTGCTGACTGCCATTGTTTCCAATAGTCTTTTTTGAAGCATACATTTGTGCAGGCTCATGGCAGCTCATCAATTTTGACTGACTTGTGTATTCTCTCGGTACTGCAGCTGCTGATGTAGTCATACCTAGTGTAAAAAAAATGTACCAGAGGAAGTGTGCAACTAAAATTTCTGTCAATATTTATATTGTTTTTAATACTAAAGGTTTGTAATTGTTAACAAGATTTATTTCAAATGAATGTTTTTCAATTAGAATTTTGTAATTTTTTCATTGTTTGACTTTTATGAATAACAAGTTCACAGCTGAATAGCTGTGCAGGTCCTCTAATTTGGTGTGGTCACACATCAAAATGTGTGAATATATTGACTCTTGTGGATATTGTATGTATGTAACCAAAACCATGTGCACTTTTATCCAGTTGAGCAGTAACGCGAGTGCGGATATTTTTTTCCTCCCAGAATACTTAAAGCTGCATCTGTTCAAACTTCATTCTTGTGTTGAAATCCAAACTATAATTTTATTTCAATGCTGTAATAAATGTACAATCTTCGATCAATTTCAAGCCCACCCCAACCTTGGAATTACCCATCAGAAATATTCCTCAAATTCAAAAAGATTTGATTGCTGAACCACTTGAAATTTCATCAAGTGGCGGAAGACACATCTTCTCATCAGTACCTTGAAACGAGCTAAGATATTTTATGACTCAAAGCCCTGTGCTGCAGAGGGGACCATTAGTGTTCATTTGAAAATTTGAAATTTTAGTAAAACAGAGCAAAGGTGTGATGGATTAGGCAAATAAGAAATGTTGCTTTGACTCAAATCTATTTGCTTCTATATCAGGTTCAGTTACCTGTTTAGAAATTACAAATGTGAAACTATCTTCAGTCTATATCCATTCTATTTGTTGCTGGAAACAGTATACATACTTTTACTTCCTGGTATAACATTTAATGATGTTTCCAGACCAAATTGCACATGCCAACTACATAAAACGTTGCCTGACTCTTATCTGCCATTTACAATGATCAACGTGGGTTCCACTGACACTGATAAATATGTGGAAACCTTCAATTGCAATAAAACTAAGACATTTTCTGTTAAACTATTCTTAATTCTGTACCACTGTGGTTCCTGGTAAGTGAATATAATTTCTGGCAGACTGATTGCAGAGTTAACAAACATACACTAATTACCTTTATATGTTCAGAAAAATTTGGATGAAATGATTTTTCTAAAAACAACTTGCTTCAAAAAATTCTGAAGTTTCCATGCTTCCTTGTATTCAAGTATGTGTATTTTTAAAGTGTTAGTTCACTATAAAATTGCAATATGGTGGCACATAACCTTTTCATTGTGCATTTCTGAAGTAAACCACTATTAAAATATTGGCAATGGTATGTTGAGTATTCTTCCAAGTAGGCACTAAGTAGATCTGACTTTTTACAGCAATTTAACTGTGAAAGTTGTAGAATGTAATAGAAAAGCTACTTTTTCCATAGCCGTAAATCTGCAGTTAGGTAAGTGAAACAGACCGTTATCCAGTATGTAATGTTGTAACGCTTTTGCTTTGTATGTAATTTTAGGTATGCTGCTTTTTGTGAGGAAATGTACAAATATAAGTAAAGAGGCAACAGATTGAAGGAGAGTTTTTCTCTTGCACATTACAATTTTTTTCAAATGTATTCAGTGTGAGAGGATCTAGTTAAAACTGTAACTGACAAGTTGTCAGACAAAGTAGAATGTAGAGCGAAAAGCAACCAAGGTTTTGAATTGATGATCCTTATGCACATGTTGATTTTAAAAACACTGTTGATATACTGTTTAAAATACTTTGTTGAGAACTGTTTAAATAAATTAATGTATTCCACACAGTTTTGTCATACTTAAGCATCTATTATATCAACTAATGTCTTGTTTTTCCTTTCTGTGCTTAAACCAGTTATGATAATATTCTTACAACCTTCTTGATAGAAGTTGCAGTTTTTGTATAAGAGGCTTGCTTTTGGAATTGTGTGTTCCTCATCTTTCGTGTAGGCCGAGTCAAATTTCCATAGAAGGATACTTGATTTCCAAGTCGTAAACAAAATATGAAAGAAGGGAGCAAGGGATAAACCAGCTAACTACAGGCCAATCAATTTACCTCAGTGATAGGAAGCTATTGGAAGCAACTCTGAGGGAGTGAATCTTTTGGAGAGGCAAGAATTAATCAAGAACAGTCAGCATGGTTTTGTTAAGGGGAATTCATGTCTAACCAAATTGATTGAATTTTTCAAAGAGATGACCAGGTGTGTAGATGAGGGCAGTGCTTTTGATGTAGTTTACTTGGACTTCATAAGGTCCCATGTGAGAGATTGATAGCAAAGGTAAGAGCCCTTGGGATCAAGGAATGTTGGCAGATTGGCTAAGTGGCAGGAAACAGAGGGTTTCTGAAGAACATTTCTGAAGAAGGGTCCAGACCCGAAATGTCAGCTTTCCTGCTCCTCTGATGCTGCCTGGCCTGCTGTGTTCGTCCAGCTCTACACCTTGTTATCTCAGGAAACAGAGGATGATGTATGAGGGGTGTTTTTCTGATTGAAAGTCTGTGACTAGTGGGGTATCACAGGGGTCAGTGATGGAACCCTTGCTGTTTGTGGTTTATGTAAATGATTTAGACTTGAATGTAGGAGGGTTGATCAGTAAGTTTGCAGATTATACAAGAATTGTAGAAAAATGGCCTTAGATTACATGAGGATATAGACAGGCTGGTTAGATGGGCTGATCAGTGACAAATGAAATCTATCCAGATAAGTGTGAGACGATAAAATACCTGATGAATAGTAGGACCCTGGGAAGTACCGAGGATCAGAGGCATCTAGGTGTGCACATGTACCCTTAAGGTAATGGGACAGGTAGATAAAGTGGTTAAGAAGGTGTATGGTATACATACCTTTCTTAGCTGAAGAATAGATTTTAAGAGCAGGGAGGCAACACTGGAACTGTAAACAGAAACTGTTGGTTAGGCCACAGCTACAGTACTCTGCAGCTCTGAAATTCACATTTTAGGAGGGATGTGATAGCACTGGAGAGGGTGCAGAGGAGTTTTATCAAGATTTTGCATGTGCTGGAAAATTTTAGTTATGAAGAGAGATTGGATAGACTGGGATTAACTCTGTGCTTTAATGACTCAGACTATTTTCCCTCCAATACCTTATTAAAAAGGCTGTTCATAGTGTTGTTTTGCATGAAAAGCTTCCTGATATTACTATCAGTTGACCTTTAGGCAATCTGAATCTGTTTTCCTTTCACCCCGCATGTAGTTTAGCTTGAAATAGTGTTGCATCCTTAAAAATAGGAAGAGGAATCTACTATCAAATTCTATTCAACTTTCCACTATCATAATAATGAAAGGCAACTTGTGATGTTTCATTTCTCAATATTTAAGTAGCTACACCACATAGACTATAGTGGTTCAAGAAGGTAGCTTATCACCATTTTCTCCAGGGCACTATATATACAATATAGTACAATAATACAATACAGCACAGAACAGGCCCTTCAGCCCACCGAGCCTGCGCTGATTCCTAATCCTTTTGTAGACCTACATATTGCCCATACACTGTTTCTGTTCCTCTGTTCACCTTCCATTCACATGTCTATACCTTAAACGTTGCTAACATACCTGCTTCCACCACCTCCACTGGCAGTGTGTTCCAGGCATTTACCACCCTTTGTCAAAAATTTTCCCCACACTTCCCCCTTTCACCTTGAACTTGTGCCCTCTTGCACCTTTTCACCCTGTGAAAAAGCCTCTGATTATCCACTCTACCTATGCCTCATGATTTTTTTTCCCCATAGAACCCCTACACTGGGGAAACAGGCCCTTCAGCCCACAACAATTCTCATAGCATCCCACCTAGACCCATCCCCCTATAACTCACCTAATCTACACATCCCTGAACACCACGGGCAATTTAGCATGGCCAATCCTCCTAGCCTGCACACCTTTGGACTGTGGGAGGAAACTGACGCAGACACGGGGAGAATGTGCAAACTCCACACACAGTTGCCCGAGGGTGGAATCGAACCCGGGTCCCTGGCATTGTGAGGTAGCAGTGCTAACCACTGAGCCACCATCTGTCGGGTTGCCCCTCAGCCTCTGTCTTTTCAGTGAAAATCGTCTTGAGTTTATTCAACCTTTCCTCATAACTAAAACCATCCAGACCAGGCAACATCCTGCTAAAACTGTTCTGCACCCTCTCCAAAGCACCCACGCCCTTCTGGTAGTGTGGCAACCAGAACTGTGCAATATTCCAAATGTGGCCTGACTAAAGTTTTATACAGCTATAACATAACTTGCCAACTTTTATATTTGCCCCGGCTGATAAAGGCAAGTGTGCTGTATGCCTTCTTGACCACCTTATCCACCTGTGTTGCCACTTTCAGGGATCTGAGGACCTGTGCGCCCAGATCCCTCTCTATGTCAGTGCTTCTAAGCATTATGGAATTTATTGTATAATTGGCACTTGAATTTGATCTTCCAAAATGCATTACCTTGCATTTATCTGGATTAAACTCCGTCTGCCATTTCTGTGCCCACATCTGCAATCTGTCTATATCCCGCTGTATCCTTTGACAATCCTCCTATCTGTAACTGTCCCAATTTTGGTGTCATTCACAAACTTACTAATCAGGCCACCTATGTTTTCATCTAGATCATATATTACAAACAAAGGTCCCAGCACTGATCCCTGTGGAACACCAGTAGTTACTGATACCCGTTCCGAAAAACACCCTTGCACTGCTACTCTCTGTCTTCCATAACCAAGCCCATTTTGTATCCATCTAGCCAGCTCACCCTGGATTCCATGAAACTCTTATCTTTTGTACCAGCCTATGAGGTACTTTATCAAATGCCTTACTAAAATCCATGTAGACAATATCCACTGCCCTTCCCTCATCAATCATTCTTGTCACCTCCTCAAAAAAACTCAATTAAGTTGGTGAGACATGACCTTCCCTGCACAATCCCAAGCAGCTGTCATTAACAAGTCCATTTGCTTCCAATTGTGAATAAATCCTGTCTCTCAGTATCTTTAACTGCTTCCGCACCACTGAAGAAGGGTCACCGGAACCGAAACGTTAACTCTGATTTTTTTTTTACTCCACAGATGCTGCCAGACCTGCTGAGCTTTTCCAGCAACTTCCGCACCACTGGTGTCAGGCTCACTGGCATGCAAGTATCTGGATTGTCTCTGATTCACTTCTTAAACAAAGGAACAGCATTGGCCATTTACCAGTCGTCTGGAACCTCATCTGAGGCCAAAAAGGATGCAAAGATATCTGTTAAGGCCCTAGCTATTCCTCCCTTGCCTCCCACCGTATCTTAGGATAGATCCTGCCTGACTCTGGGGAATTGTATACGTTGTTAGATTTCAAGAGACCCAACAGTTACTCCTTCATTATGTTGACCTGCCTGAGAGTATTCACCCACCTTTCCCTAACCTCAACATCCATCCTGTGCCTCTCTTTGGTGAATAATGATGTACTCATTAGGGATCTCTCCCATTTCCTCTGGCTCCACACATAACTCCCTCCTTTATCCTTGAGTGAGCCTGTTCTTCCCCCAGCTACTCTGTCGCTCCAAATATAGGTATAAATGAATTGGGATTCTCCTTAACCCTGCTGGCCAAGGACATTTCATAGCCCCTTTTTGCCTTCCTAGCTCCCAGTTTGATCTCCATCCTACTTTCTCTATATTCTCCATGGACTTTGTCTGCTTTTAGTTGCCTAGACCTTGGGTATGCTTTCATTTTTATTGACTAAGCTGATAATTTCCCGTTATCCAAGGTTTCCCAATCCTGCCACTGCTGTCCTTCATTTTCACAGGAATATGCTTGTCCTGCACTCTAATCAACTGGCCTTTTAAAAGACTCTCACGTGTCAGATGTGGATTTACCCCCAAACAGCTGCTCTCAATCCACATTCTTGAATTCTTGCCTAATTTGGTTATAGTTGGCCTTCCCCCAATTTAGCACTACGTCTAAGATCTACTGTTGTCCTTATCCAGAAGTATCTGAAAACTTACGGAATTATCATCACTATTCCCAAAATGTTCCCCCGCTGAAATTTTGATCATCTGGCCAGGCTTATTTCCCAATACCACGTCTAGTTTGGCCCCCTCCCTTGTTGGATTGTCCACATACTGTTTCAAAAAACCCTTCTGGACACATGTAACAAATTGTTCCCCATCCAAACCCCTGGCACTAAGGGAGTAACAGTCAATATGGGGAAAGTTAAAATCACCCTCCAAGATAACCCTGTTATTTTCACATCTGTCCAGAATGTGACTACGTATCTTACTCTATCTCCTGCTGGCAGCTGGGAGGTCTGTAGTACAATCCTAGCATTGTGATTACATCCTTCCTATTCCTGAGCTCTACCCATAATGCCTTGCTGCAAGATCCCTCCAAAGTGTTCTCCCTTGACGCGACTCTGATTTCTCCCTAACCAGTAATGCAACTCCCCCACCACTATTGCATCCTTCTTTGTCTTGTCTAATACCCTGGAAGCTGCCAATCCTGTACTTCTTTCAACCACATCTCTGTGATAACAACAACATAATTGCATGCATTAATCCAAGTTCAAGTTCATCCATTTTACCTGTTTACTTTCTTGGATTGAACAAAGAACAAAAAGAACAAAGAAAATTACAGCTCAGGAACAGGCCCTTCAGCCCTCCAAGCCTAAGCCGATCCAGATCCTTTATCTAAACCTGTCGCCTATTTTCCAAGGATCTATATCCCTCTGCTCCCTGCCCATTCATGTATCTGTCTAGATACATCTTAAATGACGCTATCATGCCCACCTCTACCACCTCCGCTGGCAACACATTC